TTTGGGTCACTTTCCTCTAGTTTGTATTCTGTTGTCTGATTTGTTTGTTCATTCTTTATCGTCATTTTCTGAGAGTTTTTTATTTGAGGGTTTAGGGTAAAGATGTGCTCATTTATATCATCAAAATTGTCTCATCATGATTTGAGACAAGGGTCATTTGAATTAGTTGCAACATAGCATGCATTTCCTCCTGGAAGATATTTGCCTTGTCTTGAAATATTACTGCTGCAGGTCTCTGATATTCCAGGTAGATGACCTCAGAAGAGACTATTAGGTGTGGTTTCCTGCCACTTTTAGTTGGGTATGCAACATCCATTTTATCTCTCCCTTCCAAATTATCTTTCACAGGTACCATAATCCCTGTATATTAGCCTTATCAAGCCAACCAATCTTAAGGTCCTAACAAATCTTGTATAGTTCGTATCTTTATGTATGTTTTTTATAATCCAATACGTTTCCAATTGTCAATCCATCACTGAAAGCAATGGTTTATAACAGTTCTTCTATTCAGGGGTCCTACAATTATCAACCAGCCAAAATTGCAGTTCAGAATGTTTAACCACCTAAGAACAGTCCAGTAGCTTTCCCCCTAGAAGAGTAGCCAAAAGTCAAGGTTTTTCTTTCTCTGAAAACAATTCTTGTGCTTACAAATCACAGCTCAGTAAATATTTATAATCCCAGAGGGTCAGCAGTTTTTATAACAATTGTTGTCACTCTGTAGTAGATAGCCCAATGTATTTTTTCCCCTCTATTCCCAGTTGTTCTTCATTTAGCTAAGAATCAGGATCAAAGAGACAAGTTGTTCTCTATTTCTGGGCGTCTTGCCAGTTTCTGAGCCAAGGCAGCTATAGTTCTATACTCTGATCTGCCACTAAATGTCAGTAACTGTTCATTTTCCAACTTTTAAAACAGAGTTATTTTCTTGTAATTTTGTCAATACTCTTTCAAATGTGAAATCTTAACAATTTCCATAGTTTTCAGATTTATCCAAACTATAGCTTTATATTAATCCCATTTTAATGTATTTCTGTCCCCCACAAAAATTAAATTCCCACTTCCATCCATGAAAGGGTGGGGCTGATCCCCTTCTCACTTTTGGAGGATTTTTGCTTTTTGGGGATTTTTTCCAGGAAGTCAGTTGCAAAGTAGAAGAGAAAAGATCGATATTCTCACCCAGTTCCAAACATGTTGTTCACAGTCTGTTCTAGTTAGTGGTTTGGGACTTTATCTGCCGGTAGCTTGGGCTAATCACCGGAGTGTAGCTAGCCTTTCTCCTGTAAGTTTGGAGGGCTTCCCCCGGATCAAACAGATTGACCGCTGTCTTTCCGTGATAACGGGAGCCCCCTCCTTTGTCACCTCTCGGGGGTGACTTTAGACCCATTTATGGTCCCCAGGCAAGACGAAACCAGCCATGGGGTGCGAAGCCCCGCAATCCCTCGGCTGTGTCGCTACAATGCAATACCGCAAGTCCCTCCCAAAATCATGTTCTTAGGTTGAGGTCACACATCATATAAATGGCGAATATGTTTTGCAGGGGGATATGACTTGACATACCAGTTTAATT